ATTATATTTATGCTCTACTTTTGTATCGAGCACTATTTTTTAAAAATAATAACTAAAATACTAAGGGACTTTGGATTATTTACCTAACCAGTTCCTTCCTATTTTCTATATATTTTCACACCCACAAGTAGAACAAATCGGTACCTGAGGAAAATTGGGGAATAAAAAAAAGAAAGAACCAAAAACATTAAATCAAGGCGAAAACAATCGTCCAGTGTTCAAGCTCCAAATCCAAATGAAAAAAAAAAACCAATGCGAGTAAAAAGTACAACTACGAGAGATTGCTCAATACATTAAGATAAAAACTTAAGATAATCCTAAGGAGCCAGGCAAACCTACCTAGGTTTCACCTAAATGGATCTTCAGGTTAATGTATTACTTTGCTTGAGAGTGAAATGATAAAAAAAAATCTGTTTTAGAAATAGGAAGACGTTTATTTTAATTTTTTTTAGGAGTAAAGATTTTTCTATAATTTAAGAAATTAAAGTCTAGCTATAATATTATCACTGATGAAACACATGATCAACACATGTCACAACATGTTATTATTTTCTAATTTATTCATTTAACTATAGAAGAAATACGTTTTTAAAAGAAAAAAAAAATACATTTCTTCTCCAGAGAAAAAAAAAAATTTATATACATATATATATATATAATTATAAAGAGGTAATTATACAATGAATCATTTAGCAATATTAATGCAATTAATGGCGAAATCTCTTCACTAACAGACTTAATATAAGCATTAAGCTACTAACAAATTCAAATTCCAGTTGAATCCATTACATTCATTTATGTGCTAATACCCTTGAGAAAAGTATGACTCCTCCTTTTTTTTCCCACATTCTTTTTGGGTAAATTTGTATAAAAAAGTTTCTTCAGTATTTTGATTGGAATGTCGAACTGAACCCTTTAATCAAATTATCAGTTATCTCCAAAGATTAATTTACCCTCTGAAAGTTCTTCACATAAACTTAAACAGACTGAATTGAACTTTTAATTATTCTTTTAGTCCTAGTCATCCATTGGATCTAACCAATGCCTTTAAAATTGTTAGGGCTATGAAGACATTTCACTTTTATAATGTTTATTTCATAATGGTTCCAAAATGAACAATTCTTGTCCTAAAAATGTTTGAATTGGTCTTTCTCGAGATCCAGGACCCTAAAAATCTTTCAATGTGGATCCAGACAATTTTCAAGATTGATTTAATGTCTGAGAAAATTCGAGTAATTATTCTCCAGGAGATAATTTATGGCATCCAACAAACAAGGAGGCACGTGGAACTAAAAAGAAAATGTTCTACCCCTTTCCCAGTGAAATAAATTAGGTCATAATGTTTGTTTCCAACCACCGGTATGTTTTCCTAATATATAACGGAACCTTTAAAATGATTTTTTTTAATAAAATATGCGACAAAGATATCGGACATTAGTTCAAATAATGTACATAATACCTCATCTCAGAAAAATAGAACATTTGATATTTTTAGGGGTTAATATATTGTTAACTTTATTTATACATCCTATTACCTAACTAATTACTTTAAAAGGCACGGTGGAAATAAAGGGTGGATACATTCGGCTCGGATTGAGGAATCAACAGCCGAAACGTCAATTCAGTCAAATCCATTACATTCATAATACCTATCACTATAGACAGAATATACCTATATTGGAATGGTGTGTTTATCCTCTTCTTTTAAATAAATAGGAATAGGACAGACCAGGTTCTATAGTAGAAATTATTGGATGGCAACTGGTCTAAATCTCTTCTCGAAAGAAATGGCAACCTACTTGGTCTAAAAAAAAAATCTGCCTCATCAGTCATCTATTGGAAGATTATGATCACCTATGCATGGCACTTAAAAAAAAAAACCAAAAAAACATTTCATATGGATTCAAAATTCCTCTGTAATTGGTCTAATTTCAAAATTTTCTTGGAGGCTTGCGGCACCCAAACCCCAGCCATATGGGTTCGTTGAGTTCACCAGAATCTATTCATAGCCTACATTTTAGCAGTTGGATCCTCGACTCTTTTGTTGCAGGTTACAAAGAGGCCCCCATATCTGTTCATGCTTCAGGGACCCCCATATTTATTTAAGCTTCAGGGCCCCCAAAATGTAGGTCCACCTCTGGCACTAGAGATAAAAAGAAGGTTAGAAATATGCTCAATTTACCCCAGAGTCAAAATGGTAGATTTTTGGTCAGCAAGTATCCACTTGGGTGGGGGGGCGCTTTTGAAGAGAAGGTTCTCCCTCTCTTGAGGCGGAGCATAGTGAGTATATTCTAAGCTCCACAGACAGCCCCAAAAGAATAAGTATTTACAAGAAAAATATAAACAGTAAATACTGACTAGGTTAGAAATAATAAGTAATCTAACGACAATATGGTAGGAAGAAAACGTTTATTAAAAAAAAGACAATGGTGACTTGTTAAATATTAGCAAAATTATACTTAACCATTGGACTCATAATTCACAGGTGGGGAAACTACTGACTATGAACCACATGCAATCCACCTGATGATTTCATGCAGCCCATATGAACACAACAAAACATTATCTTTTAAGTATCCATTAAAAAGATTTTGATATAGGGTGACCCCAAAAAACGGGAATTTTTGAAGTGCGTATTGCCAGACATGAACTAGTGGCAACACTGCGAGACAGTGACCTTGAGCAAGTAAACATTTCGCCATTTAGAATTCAAGATGAAATTCACAGTATCCCAGCTGAGATGTTGCAGCAGTCAATGAGGAATCTCAACAGCAGATTTCAAGAATGTATTCATACAGGAGGACGCCATCTACAGGACTGTAATTTTTTGTAATTTTTCATCAGTGGAAATGCTTGTTTTCAATTTCAAGTCGTCCTAAATTAGGTTCGACGTATAAAACGTTTTAGGAACTTGCAATAATAGTTAATGACGCAGCAATCTAGTTGTGGTCGTTGATACTTCAATGTCCGACATCGACTGACTCACTCAACTCCACTGAGCCCCCTGGCGACTGCTACTACTACTACTTATCTGTGGGAGAGTCTATTTACAATAGAAATAGGTACGTTCAGGTATAACAAGGACATAATTTTTAAAAAATGAAAATTCCATCATTGTTTCTTAAATGGCATGTTTTAAGGTTTCAATTACTATGAATAAAATATTTTTCTTCCATCACTCTTGGTTTTATTGGATTGTTAAAAAGTTCCCGTTTTTTGGGGTCACCCTGTATTTATTGGTTACCATGTTGCACAAAATAATAACTGATTCAAAACAAGAACAAAGATTGATGCCACATGTATTTAACAGCAAAGCCCAGTTTTCAGAGGCTTATCACACTGAAATACCTGCTCCCATATGATCACCAAAGTTAAGCAATGTTGAGCCAGGACAGTACCTAGATGGGTGACAACTTTGGAATACCAGCTGCTGTAAGCTTGGATATGCAGGCGGTATGGCTTACAGCCACATCACATTGAAATACCGGTTCTTATATGATCATCAAAGTTAAGCAATATTGAGCCTGGTCAGTCCTTAGATGAGTGACCAGTTTGGAATACCAGCTGCTGTAAACTTGGATATGCAGGTGGTATGAATTACAGACACATCAATTTGAAACACTGGTTCCTGTATGATCACTGAAGTTAAGCAACATCAAACCTGGTCAGTACCTTGATGAGTGACTGCTTGGGAATACCAGATACTGTAAGCTTGGATGTGCAGGTGGTGTAATGAATAATGGCTTGGAATTGTTAATTAGAGAGCCGAGTTCCAATTCCCATTTGGTTTGTTTTGTTCACTTATGCAGAAATAACCTGAGGAAAGGTATAAACTTTTCTCACCCCCCGAAATGGATTAATTAGTAAGACTTGCATCATTAAACCATTATTATCTCTTACCCCCCTGCCCCAAATGTTCTTACAATCTAAAAATATTTTCTGGCTTTAAATAACCTGCAAAGGGTTGATATGCCATAGAAAATGAATCAATCAATAAAAACAGTTCTCAGGAAACTCACTTCCCACAAAATAAACAAGGCACCTGAATCTGCATGTGCTACACCAATCAGGGTTTAGTTTGGTTTGGTTTACAGCATATCATCCTCAATGCTGACAAAATTTTCATTGTTGGTAACATTTTTTTCCAAAAATTTCAAAATTCTATTTCTGATAAGATCTTTCCATCACTGGTAATATTTGTTTTTCAAAAAATGTATTGCTGGTAATAAGTTTTTTTTTTTTTTTTTTTTTTTACAAAGTATTTCTGGTACTAAATCTTATTTTTACACTTTCATAATGTTCTGACCTGAAAAACATAACTATTTAGTTATTGTATAGCTGGGACCCTAACAGGTGCCACCACCCAGACGGTCAACTTAACACTTTGCCATTTTATCAGTAAAGAAGGTGATTCCATGCTCCTCAAACCCTCCAGAGCAAGAGGCCCACTAAGAGAAGAACAAACTAAATTGACATATTTTACCAGTCATACCCAGGACGCAGATGTAGTTTATCATCATACCTAGGACAGATCGGCACAGCGTAAACTGATGTAGGGATCTAGGCCTCTGTGTTTATTCCAACTGCTAATAAATAAATCATTTCTGCATTTTGTTGTCTTGAGATTTATTTAGAATTAAAAGATTTTTTTTCTCAGCTACTCATGTCTGAATAATGGTAACAAGCGTATTAAATATTAAACTAATTTCTTATACATTTCTGCAATCTGTTCCTAAAATGTCCCCAATAAACAAAGAAATATATAAATAGCATGAGTTTTATTATTATTTCCATTATCATTCTGAAATTTGTGTTGTTATAATGCAGTCTGCTTTATAGAATTTAGTCAATGATATAACAATCCATGGAAAAGTTTACCTATATACGTCATAATCGTTAGTGAACACATGAAAATAATAATGTTAAAGAAAATAAAACAGAATTGAAAAACTTTAATTACAGCATTGACTGAAAATGCTGACCAAATTTAATTTTTACAATGAACACCACCTCCATACAGAAATTCACAGAAATCTTTTATGCATGAAAAAAAAAAAAAATACTGGTATAGTCATATTATGCCAATGTTTCTTCCAAAGATGCAGCTACACCTAAAACGTCAGGTAAAGATTCAATCAACAAATTACTGTCAGCTATTGTATCAGCAAAAGAATTATCCATTCTACTGTGTGTTTTCATATGACGCTTCAGATGAGAACTCCGTGTAAAAGCAAATCCACAAACTTCACAAGGGTAGGGTTTTTCTCCTGTGTGTGTTCTCGTATGACATTTAAGTCCAGAACTGCATGTAAATGCAGCTTCACAAACGTCACACTTGAAAGGCTTCTCCCCAGTGTGAATTCTCATATGACCTTTCAAGGTTGAATTACATGTAAATGCTGAACCACAAACTTCACAAACAAATGGTTTCTCTCCAGTGTGTGATCTCATGTGATATTTCAACAGTGAATTAGACACAAATGCAGATTCGCAAACATTACAGGGAAATGGTTTATCTCCTGTATGGGATTTCATATGGTACCTAAGACTTGAACTGCGTGAGAATAATGTTCCACACTCATCACATCTAAATGGTTTCTCACCTGTGTGTGTCACCATGTGACGCTTTAGACTTGAACTGCAAGTAAATGCAGACTTACAATTATCACAAGAGAAAGGTTTTTCTCCAGTATGTGTTCTCATATGACTTTTCAGGTGAGATTTGCATGAAAATGTAGATTCACAAACATCACATGGAAACGGTTTCTCACCTGTATGAGTTCGCATGTGATTCTCTAAGTGAGATTTGCGTGCAAACATGGACTCACAAATATTACATGAAAACTGTTTCTCTCCTCTGTGAGTTTTCATGTGAGCTGAAAGATCAGAATTGCAAGAGAATGTCAATTCACAAATTTTACAAATGAAAGTTTTTTCTCCAGTGTGTATTTTCATATGATCTTTGAGACTTGAACTATATGTAAATGCCATTCCACAAACCTCACAAGTATATGGCTTCTCCCCAGTGTGTGTTCTCGTATGACGCTTGAGACTCGAGTTGTGCGTGAATGCTGTTCCACAATATTCACAAGAATATGATTTCTCCCCTGCATGAGTTCTTTTATGTACTTTTAAATTTGAACTGCATGCAAATGCAGCATCACAAACATCACATTTGAAGGGTTTCTCTCCTGTGTGTATTCTTTGGTGAACTTTTAGATTCTGGTTGCTGGCAAATGAAGATCCACATTCTTCACAAAAGAATGGTTTCTCACCAGTGTGTGTTCTAATGTGGCGTTTCAGATTCCATGTATTGTAAAATATTGATCCACATATCTTACATTTCAAAAACTTTTCCATATTTGAAGAGAATTTTTAAAAATGTGAATAAGTTTTATAATATTCCAGATATTTTAAATTCAAGGATGCAAATTGCTATTAAAAATGTCTTCAAAAATTCTCCAAACCAAATGAAAAATACTTACTTTTAGCCTTACATTGGTATGAGATATTTTTCTTTAATTATAAATATCAAAAGCAGTGACCTTTTCATGCATATTTTCTTATCAATTTATTCTTCTTTTAAAAAGTTGAAGATGTCTCCAAATCCAGGTGTATTTCACTACTTCATTATTTGCGAACTGCAAACCTGTAAAACAAAAAGGAAATATGTTAAGTAATATTTTAATCAAATGCTTCAGGGTGAATATTTCCAATCTTAAAAAATGTTTCCCTGTAACATGTCCATTTAGATATTAGGTTACTCAGAAATGTTTATAACACTCTACCAAAATACAAGACAGTTTTTTTTTTATTCTTGACATTGAGTTCATTAAAGAATGTGTCATTTTATTCCACTATCTTCTATCATATTTTAAACAACTTCATTGGAAACCCAACCAATGTTTATCTATAGTAGGGCCTCTTAATATGGGGTCCATGGATTCCCTGGATGGGTTTCATGGTGTCTGTTTGTTTTACAGCATATCAACCACAATGGGTTATTTAATGCCAACAACATTTTTAGGATAGATTCGTAGGAATAGAATATGTATTATTTAGTTTAGATTAGTTTGGTTTATTTTTTTTTATGGCATATCAACCTCAATGGGTTATTTAATGCCGACAACTTTTCTAGGAATGATTTGTATGAATAGAATATGTATTCTTTGGTTTAAATTGGTTTGGTTTATTTTGTTTTATGGCATATCAACCTCAATGGGTTATTTAATGCTGACAATTTTTATTGCTGGTAATATTTTTCCTCATAAATGTATTGGTGGTAATTCAATTGTGGTTCTTGTGAACTCCAATCAGACTATGAGTATCTCTGCTTGACTGACTATTAGGCTATGAAAGACCAGTTCTTATCAGAGTCTGTGACTCAAAAAAAGAACCACTGATCTATAGACTCAAGTATAAAGTCAACAAATGTTTGCCTGAAAACTTGAGAATTATTTACCTACCATTATTTACCTACATGAAGATTGCATTATCTTACTAGAATGGACTACCACCTGTGAGAAATATGGCAAGAATAAAGAGGTGTAAATGATTTGCAAGACGACATATTAGCCAAGATGAAATCCAGTTTCAATTGTGGTCCTTGTGAACTCCAATAGAATGAACATTATACCATTCTCTGTTCTATTGCTATTACTATGGCAAATGTTCAGACAAGCCATATTCTTTTGTCCTACCAGTTCAGACCTTCACAGAAAGGACAACCATGCTGTGTAAACAACATCAAATCGTTCATATTTCTTTGGTAAAGAAGAAGTTTCACTTCTTCCTCAGAACTTTTACTTTGTGGAACAGACTCCCAGAAAGTTTTTTCCCGGATCACTACAATCTTAACCTCTTCAAGTCTAGACTCAACCAATATCTATCCTATATATCATAAAATGCACCTCTCCCACTACCTTGAGTGACTCTTGGACCTTGTATCGGATGAACAGCAGTAAAAAAAAAAAAAAAAAAAAATTACAGAGTCATGGATAACTTTCAAAACGGCCAGCTGACAGACTAGATCTCATGTAGTCTCCTGCACACATACGAGGGTTGGCCGGAAAGTTCATAGTCTGACCAAGATGTAAATGTAAGTAGTCACACCAGTTGGTAGACTAAAAGACATGACTATAAAAATGTTAAAGATTAAAAGAAAATGGTTAAAATTATAACGTTCTATTAGTTTATGGCGGATTTGTGTATCATTGTGAAGCTCAACTGAGTTCAGGACACATGCATGGCGTCTGTATATTATGTGAATTATGATAAAAAATATAAAAGAGATAGATAGTAATGGTGGAATATAATAACTTTTATGCAGGGATTCCCTGAGATATGAAAACTATTTCAATGGCTCCACAGGGGTAAAAAGGTCGAGAAATGCTGATCAAGATATTTGTAAAGTATTTTCTTTTTCTTGACAATTTTTATGAGATATTAAATGGAAAAATCTCCTTGTTAAAACTTCTCTGTTTTTTTTTTTACTACAATTCACTCAATATTAGGCCCAAAAACCACTCAAGGTAGGGGTGTTACTGAGATATGTGACATGGATGTAACAAAAT